CAATATAATGAAAGTAGTAATCAACGCCAGAATGATCACAGAGAAACCCAATTGGAAAAAACTTGAGGCACTTTGCCGGTCAATCCACTATAAAAGAATTTAACAACTTACAGTCTACCAAACTAGACGACCCGTACTATCTGATCTTCTGACTGTACTCCTCACAGCTCTCCGTGGATCCCGTGCTCTCCTGCACCAATCCTCAGCTGTTTTTGCTAAAGCTCTCCGTAGAATCTGCTACCCTGCAGCACTCCAAGCCTTGTGAATTTGTCCATGTCTTGTGGAATATGCTACCCTGCAGTCCAAAATGACGAAAAAAGTTAGTTCCACAATCAGTTGACCTCAAAAATGAAAAAAATAGTGGCAAATTTTGACCAATTTAAACAAGAACAATTTCGTCCAATTTTATTTTTCCTTTTTAAAAATCATTTTATCAATTATAATATCACTCCATCTTCATTCTCTTTCACGATACGAACCAAAATAGTCATCTTCTACAATGTCTATCGAAAATAGCTATGAATATGATGAAATTCCATAAGATATTGCATGTCACATGTGAGGCTGTCTTCCCAAACTTGTGTTCAATAAGTTTTTAATTTTTTTCAAATTTCTGGTTATTAACATGTTTTTCTCACTGTGGGTTGCAAAGTGTAATTATGTGGTGCATATTTCCATCTTTTTAAGCATGTTATTGAGTTGAAATTGCATAAAATGTGCAAAACTTATTCGCGCTGCTTTTACATTCCTTTCATTGAACTAGGAATTGGTGTTGATGGAGGTTTGTTATGATTTTTTTTGTTTAGGGGAAAAATCAAGTAATTTTACAGTAAAATTACATTATGGCGGTGTATTATTACAAAGACGTAAAATTTTGTTTACGAGTATGGGAAGATAACATATCTAAACTATGTGTGCCCTTATTGGTTTAACAGATTTCTTCTGAACAATGCCATGAAGATGCTAAGGTATTTTGAGAAAATGAGATATGAGAATAAGATTGAGAATAAGAAATTGAGTGAGGCATATTTCTGTTTGGTGAAAGATGTAGATTTTATGAATGTAGTTAGGTTGCTTGGTGAGAAAAGAATTGATGAGATATGGTGTTTCCCCGTAGTTGAAGTGTTGGAATTGTCATGGGATGACAAAATGGGGCATGATGTTTCGGTGGTTGATATTAACACTGGTGAGGTGTTGGAGAAGGTGGAAGAAAAATGGAAAGTATATGTTCACAAACATTTTGAGTAGAATATATGCTATGCTGTTAATGTTTATAATAATTTTCTAGAGGATGATGACTTGTATGTTGTGGAAGAGGTTGAAAGTAATGATGCAAGTAATGAAATAGAAGTGGATGTAGAGAGTTTTATTGATGTTCTTGCAGGTGAAGTGAGTGATGATCGCCCAATAATAACTAATTAAGAAAGGGTGAATTGATTTTTAAAAAATTTCGAAAAATTAATCTAAATTCAAACAAGTAAAAACTAAATAAATCAATTCAAATAATAAGTGCAAATATGAAAGTGACAAGTAAAAGAGAGAGAAAATGCAACCAATATAATTGTGAAGGTTCGATCTAAAATAATGACTACGTCCTCAGTTATCAAGCTCTCCGCCACGAATGGTGCAATCCAACTCTTTACAACGCTT